TCTCGATGATATTTCTCGCGCGATAGCTTCTGTGCCTGTCGAGGGTCGGGAGCGCAACGAATTCAGCTTCCGTGTTTGCCCCAACACCGTCATCAAGTCGCAAATTGCTGGCTCGGACAACAAGGTCGACGGGTGCTTCACCTCGGAGAGTCCCGACAGCACGACATTGGATACTTACCATCTTGCATGTATCCTCGAATACAAGTTGGATTCCACGCAAGAGATTGAGGTACGTTGAATCTCAGCTCGTTTCAACTAAATTCAAGCTATTGTGTAGAACAACAAGCAAGCCGTGTCGGCAAGTGTCCAGATCATGAATGACGATGTCCGCCGCATGTTCACATATGGAGTAAGTCCCGCTGCTGCTGTTGCGTTGATCTCTTGTCTCACGAACAGTAGATCACCATTATCCATCATCGCGTTACTTTATGGTATCATTCTCGATCCCACTCGATGATTTCAGAACCCTTCAGCTTTGTAGAAGTCAGTCCAAAACCCTCTATGCAGTACACAAGTTGACTTTCACGCTAGAACCCACGACTGCTTATCAAGGTCTTCATGTCCTTCCTGTTTGCCACGGAGGAAGAGCTGGGATACGACCCAATGGTCACTCGGGACGCCAAAGGGGACTATATATACAGAATCCCCTCTACCGAACGGGGACAACAACGCGACCGTTTCTTCCGCACTACTGCTTCCATTGCAGAGTATCGATCGAACAATATCACTGGTCGTATGGCTCGGGTGTGGAAGGTGGTCGAGTGCAACCACAATGGCGATGTACTATCCCCCAGCGAGCCTTCCCGCGTGCTGAAAGATGTCTGGCTAGAAGATTCGGCACTTACTGAGTCGCAGATTCAGTCACAGATCTTCGAGGACCTCAAGAAGTTCTTTGTTGACAAACAAGACGAACGATACCTTGCCTTCGAGAAGCTGCAGCCTTCGCTCAGTGACCTGGAGAAGGACGACACATACAAGAAGTATTTTATCAAAATCGTGACGGATTACGAAGGCAAACGGACTAAACCACTCTTTCCCAATTCACAAAGGACACGCAAGCTATTCTCCGCCGTTGAGCCGTCAGCGCTTCCGGTGACGTCAAATCGGGGTGGTAGTGGGATTCCCCACCCGCCCGAGACCAAGATCCCCTTTGACAAACGTCCTCGCGAATTTGCCCCAAGGAAGCAATATCGGGTCGTCTTTGGGGAGGTATGTGAGGCTGTGGGTGACCTTAGAACCCTAGGCGAGGTTGCGGACGTCCTCAGTCAGGCAGTCGTTGGTAGGTTTCCCTCCACTTTTCATGGATAAAATCTCATCCCGTCTACCAGCGCTTCGCCTTATGTATTGTGCTGGATGGGTGCATCGAGATATTAGTTCTGGTAACATTCTGGCTCATCGCAGCTCCTCATCGAGCGGATGGCAAGCTAAGTTGTCTGACCTGGAGTATTCACGGCGGTTCTCCTTCAACTCCGACTGTGAGGTAGCTGGTGATCCAAAAACCGTACGCTTTTTCTTCCTTCCGCGCGACCTCTCATCACAATTTCGCAGGGTACACCGTACTTCATGCCTCATGAAATCCTCAGCTCTTCTTACATAGTTCCTCTGCCCCCAGCCACGGAAAAGCCCAAGGTCCCCCTTGTCCCTCGTGCCCCCTCTCGAGTTCCCGAACCACCTCTTGTGTATAACTTCCAGCATGACTTGGAGTCCATCTGGTGGATCTTCCTGTGGACAGTAACCCGTCGGGTCTCCCACGAACCTTCCATTGCCTTTAGCAGACCCATATTCAATAACACGATGGACCCGCCGGCAGCTAGACTAAACTTCTTCATCAAGGAAATCAAGCCAGATTTCCGAGAATGCCTCCTACCACCGCTACAGCAATTGGCAGATACCTTCGAGATGTTACGCCAATTCATGGTAGATGCGTACTTGTATTTATACCATCAGAACACTCAAGGCTTGGCTGGGGTCGCATCTTTCGTCGACGTTCATAAAACATTCGACATCTTCTTCACACTAGTCAAACAGTCTCAGGCGGCTTGGGGTGAAATACCTATTGCTCTTGATCATCCGCCCATCGTCAGCTCCGTCAGCTCCGCAGACGTTTCCAATAGCGCGAACGTTTCTAGTAAGCCGATCCGACCTAAGCGGCCGCGAGACGACGATGCCTATGTGCCAGACGCTGAACTACAGAGGCGCTCAAGAAAGCCTAGTGCGAAGACGTAGCCAAGCTGTGATATCCTCTACATGCAGTATATACTTCTTTGTTCGCAATGCACATCTCTCAGGACATATCCACGAAAATACAGTCATCTAGCTTTCTGTGTCATCCAAAACCACGCCAGGCAGGAAACTGAGACCACCTACTTCTACCATCTGAGTTCAGTTTAAATCAAAAGATAGCCTTTATTGTCTATCACCTCTTTACCTTACTAGCAGTCTCCGCACGCTGAAAACTCCTTAGACATCGTCTGACATTTCGTAGTCTGTCTACAGTGTCGAGTGGTTGACTGGTGGCAACGATGTGAATAAGCGCCCCGATCAGTCGACTCTTCAAGCAAGACCACTTCAATCCCCAGTGGCAGCACATGCACAGATCTGTGAAGCTTGCGTTGCTTGGTGTCATATTTGTAGCAAAGTTCATCACGGCGGCGAATTACACCAACTCGGAAGATACCATAGACATGGCTGGGGTTCGGCCACCGCAGGAGCCTCTGGATGTGGAGAATTACCCCGTCGCGCCAGAAGGATTGAAATTAGACCAAGTACACGTATATGTCAGGCATGGTGCGCATGTTTTCCTTGTATTGCATTGCAATAGCTGACGCTGCTCGGGACCTCAGGTGAAAGGGCACCCGTGGGCGTGCGTCTCGCCGACCCCCCTGCTTCCATACCCTCGCACTGGATGCTCTGTACTGCAGCAAGGCAATTCAGAGCAGTGTTGAACACCAACACTGGCGCGCTTGATGGCGACCCCCTGCCTCTGAAACGCCTCGTTGAGCGAAAGGACGGCACAAGTGCTGAAGGAGAATGGTAAGTCTCGTGCTCATCTCCCGCTGAACCCCCACAGCGCTTGGGTACGAGTGTGCGTGCTCATTATCATCTATTTCCTTTGCCCTTTCACCTCCCGTCGTTTCTCCTTCTCAGTCTCCTTGGGGAGCTAACGGATGTTGGCAGAAAGGTGAAGTCGGCAGTTCTGTGATTATTTCTACACCCCCTCAAGCTCAAGGATTGCCACTACCCAGTCGACCTTTGAATACGGCGCAGCGTTGCGAAGGTTATATGTCGAACGGTGCGTTTGTTACCCTTCGAAGATCGCATCCACTAGATGGTGGTACAAATTAGACTGGGATTCCTTCCTGATCAATTACTGGACGCTGAGCAAGCGTATTTCCGTTCTACTAACATGGCCCGCACTATGGAATCCCTGCAACACATTATATCTGGCCTATACCCCGCCGAAAAATGCCCAAATACGCTTCCTCCCATCCTCATACGGTGCGTGCGCCGGGCCTTCTCTCTCTCTGCAAACCACACGAGACTTATCTCTCGGAAATGTACTCAGGAACGGGAAAGACGAGAACCTGCTAGGGAACACATTCTCGTGCAAACGTCTGGAGATCCTCCAGATTGGGTTCGCGCAAGGTAAGCACTTACAATCACACCTCTCGCTTTACATCAAATCAATGAAAGCACCACACGCTAGCCGCCGCAAATCTATATAACCCAGCACTCGGGTCCCTGGACAAGCGCTTGTCGAAGTATATTGGAGGGCACCCCGTTCGCGTGGACGGCAAACCCAGGGCCTCTGGGATAATGGACACAGTAGGTTATCATCACTATTTGTCTCTCTGCAGTTCGTGCAGTCCCGACGTCATTCTCTATCATAGATACGCGCAGCCAGCGCACACGGAATCAAGGTCCCGCCCGAGTTCGAGGAGAAGGCCGTCGTCGATCTAATTGTGTGTTGCTTATTTGAAAACTTTATCTTTGAACTCACTTATCGACTCCATTTTCTCTAGGAAAAAGCAGTCGTGGCCGAATGGTTTTCTGGTGCGCACGTCTTTCATACAGCCACTCCTATCCTTCACAGACTTAAACGTCCCGTCCCATCTTCAACTCCTAAGGCTGTAAGTCGCACACTGCACCGTCATAACACCCCGCTCACCTCCCTATCTCAGACAAGACCGAGGAAGTGCGCCGCCTCGGCATGGGCCTCCTCCTGAGCGACCTCTCGCGCAAGATGTCGCGCAAAGCCAAACTAGGCGACCAAGACCCCGCAAAAATCCTCGTCCACAGCACGCACGACACGGCCATCGCGGCGCTCTGCTCCACTCTTGATGTCTACGACGAACTGTGCGCCCTTCCCATCCTATCCTCTGAACATACATTCCAGGCGTGACTAATTTCCATGATGGGCATTACGATGATGTCCCCCTCGATAGATGGCCGCCGTTCACCGCGTCGATCACGTTCGAGCTCTTCAGCAGGACTCCGGAGCCTTCAAGCAGCCACGCGTCCTATCTACAGGGCATCCTCAACCCCTTCAAACCCAGGGAACATTGTACGTACTCTTTGTACACGCGCCTACGCCCGTACTGATAACATCCACTTAACACAATCCTATCCAGACGTCCGCATGCGGTACCAGAACAAGAACATGGCCTTCCCCTTCTGCGGCGCCGCGGGCAAGCACCTCCCCGGCCACGCAGAGTTCTGCACGCTCGCGGCGTTCCAGGAACGCGTCGAGGAGCTCACGCCTCTGGACTACGACGCAGAGTGCGCCGTCCCCAGGTCGTGAATCCAGGATTTATCGTGCTTTGTGCTTCGTGCACTTTGTACTCCGTCATGTCGGGAGTACATTCAGGACCGTGTACACGTAGGCATGTGTGCACGACTTTATTGGTACCCAATGTCCCCTCGTATCTAATAAATGTGCTTGGTTCGGTCTTCACAAAACCGAAAAGAGCCAAAATAAAATGGTGAGTATTGCTACTGCCCTCTCTGTCTGGGAGTCGAACCCAGCTTTCGCGCGCACATGGGACGACCACATGATGACAGGCGCGTGTACTAACCGATATACTAACAGAGACTTGTCAATGTCCCCAATTCTTAGCACCAGATTGTATAAATTGCGGAACGCTTGATCCAAACACGGGACCAATAGTTATTGATTGCCACATGGTACATGCGTCCCTCCAACAAGCTGCACAAGACGACAGAATACAATAGGGTATGTCCATGTCCTTATACATATACATAATGCACTACACAGCGTTACGCTCTGGCGTTGACTTCAACTCTCCACATTTCATCCACGCCTCCACGCCTCCACGCCTCCACACCTCTGCAACTCTGTACCTACAACCTACAAGCACGTCTTCGTCATTGAGCGACCAAGCTCACGGCTTGATGCAGATCTTGACCGCTCCTCGGCTGTTCATCTTGTCCAAAGCCGCTTGGTAGTCCTCGAGCTTGAAGACGTCCGTCACCATACCCTTGACACGGATCTTGCCGCTATCGAGGTAGGCTACCGCACGCGGGAAGCAGAATGTCTGCGAGAACGAGCCGATGATCTACGGGATTACAAAAGCGCCACCGTCAGCGACATCGTCCACGAAGGGAAGGGGAATACGTACCTTAATCTCATCCCCGAAAATCTTCGCGGGAGGCCAGTGGACGCGGGCCTTGTTTTCGTAAACACCATAAACCATCAGCGTACCGCCCCTCCTAACATAATTAATACTGTCGTTCGCCAACGCCTCGACACCTGTAGCCTCGACGACGACGTCGAACCCATACGGGTTGTCGTCCTTCAACTTCTGCCACTGTGGTCCGGGGTTCTGCCTGTCCAGCTCGATGTACTCGTCGCCGGCCTCCAGCTCCTTAGCAATGTCCATCTTGATGCCCTTGTTCGCGGCGATGACCACGCGCGAAGCGCCATTGAGCTTAAGCAGCTGGGCGAGGATCAGGCCAGTGGGGCCCGCGCCCAGTAGAAGAACTTCCACGCCAACAGGTGGCGAGAGCTTGTCGAGGCCGTGAATGGCGCAAGCTGCGGGCTCAAGGAGGGTCGCATCTTCGTCGGAAAGGTTGTTAATTTTGTACAGCTTCTTTTGTTGGCTGAAAAGCGTGTCAGTAAGGCTCGTCCGGGGAATATTCGTGCATACTAGACGACATAGTCGGCGAAGCCTCCGTCCTGGGTGACACCACGCGAGTTAAAGTTCTCGCACAAGAGCGATTGGCCACGGCGGCAGTAGAAGCAATCGTCACACTATACTCACTGGCGTATTAGGATAATGCTGTGCAGAGAGCCGGAGCCAATGTGCTCACCGTGATGCCAACGTCGGCGACGCAGCGGTCGCCGATCTCAAATCCTTTGACATTCTTCCCTAGCTCGACAACTGTCCCAACGGCTTCGTGGCCTGGGATGAGCTGCAAGATTGCATCGGATTCCACATCGCGCATATAATGAAAGGCCAGCCGATCGATCGATCAGGCAACAAGTCCTTTCCGAGCGGTATGCTACTCACGGGAAATTTGGAGATAAACTCGCCCTCGCTGCGACGTGGCGAGATTAGCTCTGAAGGCCGAGTACTAGGACAATTGAGCATACTGAATATGGCCGTCGGTGCCACAGACACCGCAACATGCGACTATATGCGCGAATTCTCAATTCCCCGAGATCATGCGCCCCGTTTCGTGTGAGTGTACGCACCTTTGAGCAAGACGTCGTCGTCGCCAGGCTTCGGGATAGGTACTTGCCTGATCTCAAAGTCCCGGGGCTGATTCGAACGCTCATCAGTGCCCTCGTCGCACGAAAGCAGGGAACTCGCACTCACGGCATTGTACCAGAGCGCTTTCATGGTCCCTTCAGGCATGTTTGTGAGATCGACTCTGCGGGGTGAATTTGAATACGGGGATGATGGTGGTCACGGAGAGAGGGAGAGAGGGCGTGTAGATTTGAGCTGATTATAAGGAAGACCGCCCAGGGAATTTCCAAACAGAGGTAGACAAGCCAGTATACTGCCTGTGCCGCTGTCGATGCCGTGATGTCATCCGAGAAGACAACAATCACATGATGACATCCTCCGAGATTCACTCAAGTCCACAGTGGGTGCTCGAAACGCTTCAAGCAATGCCTGGCGGTGTGCAGACTCGGCGACCATCGGCTGGTGCTAGTGACCGTCGTCTGTGGGCTATGGCTGCCATGGAATTGTTTGCGACTCGCCGTATCTCGTTTTAGGGCCGAGATACAAGGAGAAAAGGTGAGGTGGAGCCCATCATCTGCAACCATCACAACCGGGAATATGTCCATGTAGATCGATGAGGCGTCGTAGCCTCGTAGGCGGCTCCCTATTCGAGACAGAACGTCGAAAATGTTAGCGAGGGAGCCCGCAAAGGAAAGAGAGTAAATTATCGGGAATTAGATGTTGAGTCTTGTCCAGCTCGCCGCTTTTGATGCTGAAAATGGAGTCAACTGTGTGGTGCAACGTTTGAGAGGAGGACTGGACGATGTCGATGAAGTTTGAGTTTAAGAGGGAGAGTTGTCGACTGGCCAGGTACTCGCATTAGGCGCTCATCCACTGGGAGGGTTGCCAAAACTAAGGATGCAAGCTAAATTTCAATGGAGAAGTGTAGTAGGCATGAATATAGTACATTTGTAACACCATCAAGCAAGTCGCAACGATTATCCTGGAAGTCTTGTAACCAAAAAGTATAATGTTCGCAACTTCCAAGCGTATGCCATTCAGTTCCATTGACCCTCGTCAGATGGAAGTTGGAATGAAGTTACCAATTAAAAGCAAGACACAACTCAGTCAGCATGTGCAGCCCGAACGGCAAAACGTCTGGCCTCGTTCATTCTGCTTGTGGAGGTCAACGAGGCCCTAGGAGGGTATAGGGGCGGCAGAGAGGGGAATTGCCTTCACGACTTCACAGCTACAACTTCTAGGTCAATCGCAGCAATGCAATAAGTTGTTCCATGATCATCCCAGGGACTTTCTAATGTGGGGGTATGAGGAAACGGATGGCGCAACAGCTGACGACGCGTACCTTTGGGCAGTACAATCCTTACGCGTATCTTCGATGAGAGCCCGGACACGCGGGATGCTAGTGAAACTGTTGCTGAAGAACGTCGTCTTCTTCGAGATGTCTATAGAGGATATCTCCTCACAGGCGATGCTGTTTTAGCCTTTGAGTTGACAACGCTGTAGCATCGTTGCTGACGCTTGAAGCTTGGATATTGAATCTATGGGCGTGCCCCTAGTATGGACCGGGGGTTGTGCATCCAAGTGTTCAAACGTTCAAGTGCGCCGTATATTTCAAGTTGAAGAATCGAGTCTATGCATCGAGTCTGTTATCCTATACCTTCAGTATGGATCATATTGGATGGACGAGGGACAAGTTATGAGGGCTGGGGCCCAGTCTATATCAGACGGTTCGCCATTTTCAGCAAAAAATCATCTACGAATTAATACACAAGAGATATCAACAGGGGTATGACATAACGACCAGCACCCACATGAATACTACCCAGCGTTCGTTCATGATTCCACCAATATCCGGCACTCAGCTCCCTTGCAACGCTTTCAGGCACACTATGACCAGACTGATGCCCTCCTGCACCATGCCCACGTCCTCGGGCACGACGCGCGCGAGCACGGACACGAGTTTATCAGGATGCCACCTGAGCCACGCCGCTCTGACCAACTCCTTGCGCGTCATCCTGTTCGTCCGCACCCTGAGCGTCGCAAGAAAGAAGCGTTGCATGCTCTCCACGTCAAGCTCCTCCACCGTCCCTACCGCCCTCACACCAGGCTCCTTGTCGGCGGCCGCGCCCTGGGGCCACGGGATATCGCGAAACCGTATGCCCACATGCTGGTCGGTCCCGGTCCCGGGTCGGATTAGCCTCCGCCACCGCTCTTCATATGCATTCCAGGTGCGCATGATCCCATCTTCCTCGTCCCGCCTGCGAATCTCGGCGCGGACGGCCTCCGTACGTACCTTGTCCCTGCGCCCACACGCGTCGCGCAGGACGCCCCCCGATCGCACCCAATCAAACTCCCCCTGCGTGGCTTCAGCCTGCTCGCGTTCCAGACGCGCCGTGTGCGCAGATGCACCGCGGTGTTGTTGGTCTGACTCTGAGCACGCTTCGGGCGTCCGGGTGGCGTCCAGCCTTTCAGCAGGTTCGGTGGCGGCCTTGGGGTCCGTGTTTGGGGCAGAGGGGGTTGGTGGAGGCCTAGGGTCTGACTGGGGCAGGAAAGCGAAATATCCCAGGGATGATCTCGAAGCCTCGTCTGTAGTTTGACGTCTCTTGCTTGATGTTGAGGGGTTAGAGGTCGAACCAAACAATGCAGATTGGCGCTGCCATGGCGAGGGGGAGCTTGTCATCGTCTTAGTCTTAGCCGTCGTGGGTGAGGCATACTGTCTGTGCAAAGGAGTTGGACTCTGAGTAAAAAACGAGGTGTGGCTCATGTTGCTCAAGGTGGCAAACAAACAAGCTGTATAAATTATTGATCAGAGTGCGTGTGTTTACGTACTAAAACGCCAAATGGATATACTATGACTCTCTGTCTGGGAGTCGAACCCAGCTTTCGCGCGGACAATTCACATAATGACAGGCGCGTGTACTAACCGATATACTAACAGAGACATGGTCATTTCCGGTACAAGAAGGCCTGAGTAGCGTTGGATATTTTCAGTGGTTGCCCGTATTTGAATGGTGATTTGTGCTGTTCTATTATCAAGTTCTACTACTTATGCGGTACCTGCGTGTAGATGTAAATACTCTAGGTGATATCCTCTACAGGCTGCAACTCTATCTACGCTACAAGCTTCAAAGCAAAATAAGCAGGGTACCATATATACCCGTGGCCCCCGCGATTAATGTGCAAAGCCCAACGCCCAAATGTATGTATCCCCGTGCCCATTAGACAACGAAATACTTATCCACCAAAGAGTTCAGCCCGTCGTATACGACGAACAGAATCCCGCTGATCGGGACAGCCTTAACGGCGGTCATCCCGCACCCTGCGTACATGCCCCGCACCCCGTGAGTCGCGTACATCCGCTTGAACGTCGCCACAAACCCCGCTGGAGAGGGCGAAACACCCGCCGAGAGATGCGGTCTCCCCGCCCGAATCTCCTCCGACGTCTGCATCGCGCTCTTCACCGTATCCGCTGGATACGACACCACAGTCCCACACGCCCCCGCAACCGCACCCGACACCGCCGACTCCCAAGGCAGGATATCCGCCCCGTGGCGCCGCTGGCTGCTCGTCAGCGGCGGACGCGGCGGGCGGGGCGTGGCCCCCGCAGCTGCGATCGACGGCGACGATGACGGGGGGAGGGACTTGTTGTGCTTGCGCAGACGGCGTCGGATGAGGGCCGCTGCGATGGTCTCCTTGACCGCGAACCACGCGGCGTTGCCCCCGCCCTCGCGCAGCAGCGTGCCCGTGTGCCCGAGCCACAGACCCGTGATGCCGTGCGTGCGGACGGTCGTGCGGAGGAGCGAGAACGCACCGGGGTATTTGGGAGTGAAGGCCGTGGTATGGGAGCGGGTGTTGCGGGGCGGGGAGGCCATGATGGGCTGGGAGGAGGACGAGAATCCCGAGGAAGGAGAAGGGTAGGAAGGTGCGCGGGGGGAGAAGGCGGGGGCTGCAGACGCAGACGGTGCAGACGCAGACGCAGACATCATCTGCACTTGCATCTTGCATTTGATCAGCTCGATGGGGGTCAGCACAAAGCTCGCTGTCGCGCCAGCGCATCCACCCGCAATGGCGAACTGCGTCGCCGTCAGCTTCGACGAGGAGCCGGTGTATTTCTTGATGAGATTTTGAAACGACGTATACGCAAAGAAGAGTATCGCCGTTTCTGCCATCGTGCCGACAATGGGCACAGGGAGACCCTGCATCAATTCTTGATTTAAGAATAAAAGTGCATCGAAATCGAAAACATACCCGGTACAAGCCTCGGACTCCCTCATCTCTAAACGTCTGCTCCAAGCAATCTACGGGCCCGTTGAAGCGGAGAGTCGAGGTGCTGGAAGCCGTCAAGAGCTGGGACTGCAGCCGGACTTTGGCTAGGTCGAATGGGTACTCGAACACCTCCGAGACCATGCCCGCAATCTAGTAGAGCCCAGCAACCTGTATATCAGCAAAATCCACCCACACTGTACAGGAAGCGCCGCACTCACACTACCAATGGCGATATCCTTCGCCGCCGAACGCAAAGTGATAATTGGTGTATCATCGTCTGGTCGGTCGTTGAGCCCATCGTCGCTTGAAGTCATCGGTCGTTCGGGTTCTAGTGGGACTATTATGTGGAATTTAAAGGAATATTGACATTTGGGAGGCTTCGGTGCGTTAGGGAACGAGGTTGCTCCAGAAAAGGAAATAGCCTCCGTCAATGCGTACGCCGCCGGCGCTCGGTCTCGGCATATCGACAACGTGACCACCAACTAGAGAATTCAATAGAATTCAATCTACTGTTACAGAGCAAAAATATAACTTTGTTGATATTACACCAAGCAAGTCAACGCATAGTCCAAAAATACACCAAAGAACACAATACTCCCGAGTGTATATCCATTCCTGTGGAACTGAGATTCGCCGACCAGATTGCCCATTATCAGACCTCCTCAACTTCCTAGCAACCAAAGGGAGTCACTTACCGCCCTCCCACAGCTTTCCATCCTTTCAAAATCTATCTCGCTCAGCTGCATGATCAGATCCACGGTCGCCCCACCAACGCTGACAACGAAATACGCATATCCCTGGTTGTTCAGCACCCCCGCTGCATAGAGCGCCGAGACCAGGATGAGGCCGAAGAGCGCGATGGCGAGCTTAGTGCGGGAGGCAAAGAGGACGGCGGTGGATTTGATGCCGGCTTTGAGGTCGTCTTTGCGGTCTTGGCAGGCGTAAATGGTGTCTATGGCAGAGGGCTTGGGTGCAGCCAGTGTGAGGAGCTACGGCGTACGTACCATACCATAATGTCCATCTTTGTATTTTGTATTGTTAGTGATGGCGCAAGGGGGAGTGGGGGAGGACTTACGCCCATGCACCCCCACTGAGCACGAGGGCGCTCATTGGGTAGGAGCCGCTGGTATAGGCCCATGCTGCGACGGCGCCTGTGTTGAGAGTCAACCCTGGCATCTCTCGTTAGCATGCGTACAAATGTGAGACCGCTTTTGATGAGATGTGCACGTACCAAGCCACGCCTGCGGCCAGTAAGTCACCCGCTTCATGAATGGGTATAAACCAGCGAGGGGGAAGACGGACACAAGCCCAATGGTCCGTCTAAACATCTCATAGTCAGTACCATATGAGACAGAGGATATAGGGGTGAGGTAAGATGCATGATACATGATTACTTACGCAAGAGGGTTCGACGGCAAGATCAATGCCAACAGAGGGATGATATTGATCGTCAACCAAACCAGGGCTCCGCGAACGGAGACGCGTCCAGATGGCAAAGGCCGCTTCTTCGTGCGCTCTATCATGGGCAACGAAAATGATATAGGGGAAACAAAGGGGAGGGGTGTTGGTGACTTACCAACTTGAGCGTCGAGATTCCTGTCCACAATGTCGTCCCAGATGCACCCAGCGCTGTGTTTCCATTGTAAATGGTTATTTCAAACCAACACATTAGAGAAGATGCGTTGTTTAACTGACCTGTGAAGCAAGAACGATCCGATCATTCCCCAACCCAGGAATCGCAAGACAACATCGAGGGGAAGGTTCAGTGTCTTCGCGGACATGACGAGGCCCCATGCTTTCAGACGCTGTGCCAGTCGACTCCAGTGTCGCTAATCATATGACAGAATGACTGACCGAACGGCCAGAAGATGAGTAAAATGCCTGCGCGATTCTTGACTCGAGACAATTCAAGCTATCCAACAATAGCTTGGAAGTAAGTCACAGTAGGCTGAGCGGTTCATGCGACAGGTGCTTGAACGTACATATGCATTGTAGTCAATCGAGCTGGTAGCGGCAGGAGGGTTGGCCTTGGGATCAAGAACGTTGGATGCCATAGTAATATTTCCGATGAGTAGCGAAGATTTCGAAAGATGTCGACGATAACTTTGTTGCTAGTCAAGCTTTAAAGCCTCACTGAAATCGGTAGCGGATCCTCGTTACGGTCACTGACGGCGGGAAATCGACGACGGAGGAACCCAGGTATACAGCCAAGTGTTGCGAGTATAATATATTGCGCGCGAGTACAGTACTGCGGTGCCACAATCAGCGCTGTGGTGCCCCGCAGAGGATTTGATGCTAGAGACCCGTCGCGACTGTTCTGGGCGAACCGCACAAACCGCATCTTCCGGAAATTTCGACGCATTCCGATAACCTTGGTGAGAGGGGCCCGAGACGAGGCCCGGGTGTGCCAGTGGCACCGACTTAGACTGACGTCTAGAGTATATGTCACGGTCAAACAGGCAAATATCTGAGAGATTCCAGGATAGGTGCCAGCTAGTAGTAATCCACAGGACTTGACTTGATAACGAACGCTGATTCGTGGAGAATTATCCAAAGCGTTCAGTCCTTTTCGAGTGAGAGATAGGACGCTGGAAGTAACCGTGGGAAGACATAGTCTAGTTTGGAGAACGCGTCAAAACGCGTGAACGGCTATGGTCTCTCCCCGCTTCGCGCTCCCGCAGCTCCGAGTTCGCAGAAGACGTATCCTCGGTGCAGGGCTCAAATACTCGACTGCCTCAAATAAATCATACTCGAATACCCTCCTTCTCCCCAAGACCAGTTTCCCTCTATGGGCGGAACCCTCGAAACGCGAAGAGCCATATCGCCGGAGGGCATGTGAGGAACTGTATCGCTGGCAGGTCAGGAATTGAGCATCCTGGTCTCCTCTTGATCTCACACCCGTGCTTCCAAGTATATAGTGGCAGAACGCAAAGGGTGATCTGTTCGTCTTGCACGACGGTCCTCCGTATGCAAACGGGGCCTTGCACATGGGTGAGCGACCTTACGCATGTATGCAAATCCTAGTGTCTAATCAACAGGTAGGACATGCATTGAACAAAATATTGAAGGATATCATCAATAGATTTCATGTGTCCCAGGGAAGACGTGTTCAGTGAGTATTCGTAGCCGTTACGAGGCATAGTTGCTAATATGAGTGCAGTTATATCCCAGGTTGGGATTGCCATGGTCTCCCGATTGAAAATAAAGCCTTGTTAGAGCTCGGAGTGAGTCTCTTCCCTCGTTATGCTATTTTTATTCATCAAGCCGTTAGAAAGAATCCACCACGGCGTCAGCGAATGAGATACGCGCTGCCGCAAGCTCTACAGCGCAGCGCGAAGTCGAATCGCAGAAGCAACAGTTTCAGGAACTGGGAATCATGGCAGACTGGAGTGACGCCTCAACGTACCGGACTTTAGGTAGGTGCTTTCCTTATCTTCACGCCCCTTCTGAGGTCATGTTCTAAGATCACGACTACGAGATGCGCCAGCTTCGAATTTTCCAAAAGATGGTGGCAAATGGTATTTGTCGTGTCTCCTTGTCCTCCACCTATGTCTAAAACATCGAAGGACTGATATATAGGCACTATCGCCCTGTCCACTACTCCCCGTCCTCGCGATCTGCTTTGGCTGAAGCAGAGCTGGTGTACAAGGATGACCATGTGTCCCATTCTGTTTT